CCAGCGATGGATTCCCACTCCCCAAACCCCAACCTGATACTGGGTGCTGGGGCATCTCGACCTGATCAGAGAAGCCGCAAAGCAAGGCCCTTCTCCTCCCTCGAATTTTCGGCTGCCAAGCTCAAGGCCTCCCAGAGACCTCGGGACCCCCAGGCCCTCCAGGGCAGCCTCCCAAAAGCCGAGCACGTGACGCTGGGTAACAGCTGCAGCCCCATCTCCCGCCGGCCCCCCACGGAAGCCTCCCAGCTTCCACTCTGTCCTAAATTCTACTCTTTGCCGGAAGTACCTCATTAATTAAAGATAAAATAATACAGAACATAAATAGATCTTTAACAGCTTTCAAAAGAAACACATTTAAGCTTCAAAAATAAAAATTATCAAAAACGTAAAAATAAAAGAGAGATGTGTTAATCACAGCCCGACCTTGCGCGGGCGAACTCTGCCGGCAAGGAGACCCCTCAGATCTGACAGGCGGTTCTGGAGATGCTCCAGCGGACGCGTCCCGGAGGGTCTGTGGACCGACACCCTGGACAGCCCGTGCACCTGTCGTGGAGGGAATGTGGCTGTGCGTGCCGGGGATCTGAGCGCCGAGGCTGGCCTGGACCTCAGAGCGCCTGCGAAGGTCTCCCAGTCCCCTTTGGTCCCCCAGTCCTTTGGTCCTGGGACCGTTTGGCCGCTTCTCCTCCGCAGAGACGCAAACCCAAGTGCCGCTGCCGCCAGTCCACACAGAAGGGGGACCAAACGGCGGCCCTTCCTCGTGGAATAATCCCCGGCCACCTCAAAGAGAGAGAGAGAGAAGGGAGAGGGAGTGCGTCTGTCGGCGGAGGCGTGGCCATCTGGAGGCCGAGGGCCACGGGCGGCAAGCAGGTTTCCCTGCAGACTTCAGCAGGCACTTGACGGAGCTTGGCCACCGGGGCCCCTCCGGCCCTCGCCATGCATGCCAGGAGGCTCAGAGGCTGGGCTGTCCAGGCCGGGACAAGGCTGCCCCCCCACCACCACGCCCGCAAGTCCCCCACTGAGGCCAGACCCTCAGGGCCTGGTCAGGGTGGTGTACAGCGGCTGGTCCCAGTGACTGGTGGGGCTGTGGGCGGGTGGCAGGGCCAGGCCGTTGAGCAGGGGCGAGGCGTAGGGCCGGCGTGGCGAGTGGAAGCAGGGGTACTGGTAGAGGCCGGGCGCGTAGCCAGGGTAGGCGCCGTAGTAGCTGGAGGCCTGCAGGTCGCTGTAGTCACCCTGGGCGCCAGTGAAGGGGCCAGTGGGGGCGGCCGGCGGGACGCTGGCCTGGCCGCTGCAGGAGCCGTAGTCGGGAGAGCCTCGGGGCTGGTCGCCGTAGTGGCCAGGGCTCGGCTGCTCTGTCTTGATGTGCGGCCGAGGGGGGCCCGTCTCGGTGGGCGACGCGGAGGCCGACGGGGCACCCTTGTGGGCCCACACGGGGGACGCCCCGGCGTGGAAGTAGGTGCCCCCATAGGCCTGGCCGGGCTCAGGCGGGGCAGGGCCGCCCAGGGGCAGGTACTGGTCGAATTCGTGGACGTCAAAGGCGTCCATGGTGCCCATGACCTCGCTGCTGAGCTCCGAGATGTCCACGTTGCTGAAGTCGATATTCTGGCGCCCGCTGTCCGTTGCCCGGCGTCCCTCCAGCTTCAGCTCCGGCTTGGCACCCGCCTGGTGCAGCTCCGTCTTGGGGGTGGTGGGTGGGGTGGGCGGCCCGTGGGTCTGCCCTGGGGACGGGAGAGCGGGCGTGAGGGATGAATGCCCCTTCTGTGGGGCGGGTGGGGCCGGTGAGGCTGGCAGGGAGGGACGCCAGCACTAACTGCCAGAGGGGGATCAACGGCTTTTTGTTTCTTCACATTCCCAGAAATTCCAGCAAAGTCAGACCTAGACTTCACTCCTCGGCCGAGAAAATTCCGTGAAGTGCTTGTGCTATGGGAAGACCCGAGGTCCCTCCCAGAGACCAAGGTGGTTGGTGGTGGGGGGCGGGGGGCAAAGGCAACAGGCCCAGCCTGGCCAGACCTGGCATTTACGGGGCGCTCGGGAACCACACAGACCCTGTTCCTTCCCGGGTCAGCCAAGCACTCCGAGGCTGGTGGGCGTCAGCCAGCCTGACCAAGGCCCCCAGCGGGACTCCACCCTGTCAGCCAGGCCCCGAAGCTGGGGCTGCTGAGCGGTGTGTGGGCAGCGGCTGGGCGTGGGAAGAGGAGCCTGCATTCAGCCGAGTCTGGCTGAAAACGCCACCTCTCCGGCCCGGCCAAGCAAAGCTGTCAGGCCCTCAGCACTGGAGGACAGCTAAGCAGGTCACTCTGCCCCGAACACAGAGGAGGCCGCGGCCTTGGCTGCTTTTTCAGGGGACCCGGGGAAGGCCCGTCTCTCGAAGGCGCCTGCCCCTACACCATCAATCACCCCATTCTCCCCCAGAAACCCCACGGCTGCCTCCCACACCAGGGACCCGCGGACACCCTGGGGGCCTGGAGCCCACCTGTGTGCTCGCCGTGGTGGTGCGCGTCTCCCAGCCCTGCGTCAGCCTTGTACACGGCACCACTGCCCGGGTGGGGTCCCAGCTCGGCCCCCGAGTCAGAGTCGCTCTGGCCGGCCTTCGCGCTCTTCCTGCGCCGCGGCTGGTACTTGTAGTCCGGGTGGTCCTTCTTGTGCTGCACGCGCAGCCGCTCGGCCTCCTCCACGAAGGGCCGCTTCTCGCTTTCGCTGAGCAAACTGCAGCACAGGGCACAGGCAGGGATGGCCAGGGCGCCCACGGTGCCCTCGGGGCGGCCGGCGGAAGCGCACACGGCGCAGGGGGGCGGGCAGCAGAGCCCGAGGCCGGGACGCTCTGACCAGGGAAACCCGCCCGCCGCGGGCTCCGGAGCCTCCCGGGGCACCGGGCACCACGCCCCTCTGGGAGAACCAGACTGCGGGAGCCCCCGGAGCCTGTCTGGGGGAGGTTGGTATGCTTATTCCGTCAAAGAACGAGCCCCAAACCTCCCGGCCTCCCTCCTCCTACTTCCCCCAATTCCGGCCCGTTGTTCCCTCCCTCTGGGGCTTTCTAAGGGAGGTGGGGGAGGCGGGCAGGACCCAGCAGGCAGTGGACAAAAGCGAGGCTTCCCGGGAACCGTGCCGGGCTCCAGCGGGCAGCTGGGCAGTGCTGTCCCTCCATTCCCACACATCCAGAAGTCCTGGCAGGGCCCAGGCGCCCATCCTCGCTGAGCCTCAGGACACACAGCCCCTAGGACTCTTCCTGAGGCTCTCCAACCGCCTGCGCGGCGGGACTTTGGGTAGCAGGGGCTGTGCGGTCCACAGCGCCCCGTGGCTGTGCCCTAGATCCAGACAGAGGCGGAGGGCGCAGATATGCAAGCCCCAAGCTCCCGTTTGCCAGGTGAGGAGCAGGATATGGGAACCAGGGCCCCCAAACCAAGACATCCATTTAAACCCAAGTAGACGACATTTGGTGGGGGCGGCCTGTCCTGAGCAACAGCTTCTCCCCTCTGCAGTCCTACTTTCCGGGCAACGCACCGGCTCCACTGTGCCGAGTCGCGCACACAGCGCGCCCGCCATCTCCACTCCTGCCCTCCTTGCTTCCGGCACAGGGTGTCCAGGACCGGGAGAAGCTGCGGGGCCGGTACCGGCCGGAAAACCTGCCGCCCACCCATTCGCATGCCCCACTCCCTCCCCAAGCGTGGTCCAGAAGCCGGAGGGGCTGAGCCCTTTCTAAAGAGGGGGCACCTCCAGAGAGCCGCATGTAGCTTGCTCCGTGCCGGGCTGGCCTCCCGGGGCTGGGACCACTCGCAGCGGCCGGGGGGCACCTCGGGTGCCCACCACGAGGGTGAGGACCCCAGGCGCTGCCATCCACGGACCCGGACCCCCCATTCCTGGCGCCGGACCCTGGTTGGCCAGAAGGTGTTTTTCCACGGAGACCCGCCCTGACACCCGCCCCGGGTGCAGAGCCCGGAGCCTGCGTGCCGCCGCCACCCCCGCTCGCCCTGAGCCCTTCATGCCCGGATCCCAGTCCGAGACCAGGGGCGGCCTGGGTCCCGACTCCCGACCCCGGGGCGCGGGCACTCACCGCCACAGTTTGCCCAGCGTCTTGCTGAGTTCAGCGTTGTGCAGGTGCGGGTACTGGTCGGCTAGCTTGCGGCGTGCCGCCTGCGCCCACACCATGAAAGCGTTCATGGGCCGCTTCACGTGCGGCTTGGCCTTGAGCGCGCCGCCGCCGCTGCCGCGCACTGGCATGGGCACCAAGCTCCAGTCGTAGCCCTTGAGCACCTGCGACACGGCGTCGCGGATGCAGGCCGGGAAGCGCTCATCCGCCGCCTCCGCCGTGTCGCCGAGGGCGCCCGCCGCTGCGCCCCCCGCACGGCCCAGGCCCTCGGAGCCGGTGGGCGACGGCGGCGCGTCCGAGTCCGAGTCCTCCACGTGCGACATGGAGCTGGCAGTGCCGGACGGGCTGCAGGGCGGCTGGGCGCGGGCCTCGCTCATGTCCAGCATCGGGGCCGCGCGCGGAGGGGCGCGCACCGGAGACGCGCACCGGGGCCGACGCCCGGGGCTGCCCTGCGGCCGCTCCGGGACCCGAGGTCGCCTTGCGGTAGCCCGACCTCGTCCCCCGCCGCCGAGGCTCGGTTCCCGCTCCGGGACCCGCAACAAGTTTCTTTAAGCGGCGGCCCCGCGGCCCCGCCCCCCGCCCGGCTGCCAATTGGTGGAGCGCGTCCCTCTCCCCCGGAGGCGGAGCCCGGCCGCCCCCGCCCCTCCACCCATAAAGAAAGCGCAGCCGCTCTCACCGCGCCCCCGCCCGCCCCGCACCACGTGGGCCCGGCGCCCCACGCCTAGAGCTCCCCTTTCCGGAGCCCCGGGAAGGGAAGAGGGGCAGAGAGACCGGGTGGGCGCAGGGGGGTCTCCGGCGCTCCCTCTCTAGTGCGAGCGCCGCGCGGTTCCTGGGAGTCCGCTCCCTGTGCGGAGCTAGTCCTCCGGATCTTCCCCGACTAGCGCGCGCGCGCGCGCGCACACACACACACACACACACACACACACCGTCCCGCTCCACACGCACACACACACACACACACACACAGCCCGTCCTGCGCCCGAGGTCTCGCCCGCAGCCCGGCGGCTTGGGGTCAGCTGCCGCCTGCGGTCCAGGGCAGGGTCCGTTCCGCTGCCCGGCGCCTAAGCCGGGGCTCCCGGCCCGCAGGGTCGGCGCGAGGGGCAGGAGCCCCCCAAGCTCGTCCAGAGTCTGCGGGCAGCGCACATCCAGGTAACGCGCGCCCAGGGGCGGCGGCTCGGAGCTGGGAGCCGGGGTCTCCCTCCCTATCCGAGTGCTAGTGTGTAGAGCGCCGGCGGGGGCGCGGTCCCACGGGCCGGGCAGCTGGAGGGGCGGGAGCGCTGGGCGGGGCCTGCGCTGACCCCGGCGCTGAGTCCCTGGGGCGACCGGGCGGATGGCGTGGCCGGACGCGGGGGCCCCGGGCCTTCCGGGCGTGACCCAGGGCTCGGGGGCGGGGAGGCCCTCCGGCGGGGCTGCCCTGGGTGGTCCGGCAGAGGCGGAGGCCCCTGCGAGCTTCTGCGCCCCGGGCGCCTGCGGAGGAGGAGAGAGGGCGGGGTGTGCCGCCCTGGTGGAGACCGCGGGGTCGGAGAGGGTACTTTTCCGCCGAGGCGAGCACCGGGCCGCTGCTCGGGTCCCCGCCCAAGGCTGCGCCCGAGAGGTGGCCTCGGGCCCGGCCGTTCCCGAGATTGGCTCGGGCTGGCTCGGATTCTTTCAGCCAACGCGCTGGAGGCGACCGGACTACGCTATTCCTGATCAGGCTGCCCTCGCGTGCCTCCGAGCTTGCGGCCCGCGAAACCCGGGTGACCCAACGCGCTGGTGCCCCTAAAGCGTCCACGCCCGGGCCGGTGGCTGTCGCAGCCCCCGAGCCACGCCGTCTCCCCGGTCCCGCCGGCAGGAGCTGGTCCGTTACCAGAACAATCCAGATGGAAAGTCGGGGGTCATGGTGGCGTGTCCCGCCCGCGCGCCGCAAGAACCTGGGGCCGCCACCAACCGCGCAGGAGGCGCCGCCTACCCCCACTCTGGCCTGGCAAGAGTTGTCCCCAACTGTGGAGAGTTGGTGCCCCCAGCGGCCCGTCTGCAGGTGGAGGAGGCCTGGGCCCCGGGGCCCCTGCTGTCCTGCCTTGGAAACAACCCAAGCCAGCCCCAGGACTGGGAGCTGAGAGCCCAAAGCCTTTGGAGGGAGCATTGGTCTCCGGGCGAGGGCCCTGCCACCTGCCGGGAGGGGAGGGCCTCATCTCTGCAAGTGGGCAGACCCCTGGCCAGGTCAGAGGAAGCGCTGGGGAGGCAGACTGCGCGCTGGGGGTAGGGGGCGGACTGTGCGCTGGGAGGCTCCATCCGTCGCAGTTACGGAGCCGGCTGCCAGCACGGCCTGCCCTCTCCTCCCCACCCCACCGGCCGCTTGGCCCTGGCACCTGCCAGGGAAGACCCACACCTCCATCTGCAGTGCCCCTTCTCCCCGGAGGCCTTGCCCTCCGTTCGGGGTCCCGCCCCTCCTGTGGACCTCAGAGCATCCCTGGTGCAGGAAGGAGGACTTCAGGGGGCTCCTGGTGGAGGCAGAAGCCTGGGCACTCACGGACTCGTCTGTTAGGCCTGGGACACAGGCAAGCAGAAGTAGGGGTATAAGTGCGGGCAGTGAGGGTGGGGCCTGGCCCAAACTGTGCCACCTTCCACGCCCTGCCCCTGGGAGAGCAGACACCACCCACTTGGGCTCCGCATGCCATCCAGGTGAGGGCCTCTGTGGAGAGCTCCTCTTTACCAAGGAAAAGAAAGAGGCAGGCAGGGCAGCCTCTTCCCAGCTCCCCACCCACCACGGAGGCTTCAGTCCCTGGGACACAGATGGGGGACTCCAGGGCTCCTGGAGAAAGGGAGACTGAGTGGGGCATGCAGGGCCGGACCCGGGGCCCACCAGGGCTTGTGCCTTTCCCTCAGGCTGCAGTGGCCACCAGGGGAGGTACTGCTGGGCGTGCAGGCTGCCACTGGGGGGTGGGGGGTGGGGGGTGGGAAGTCTGGGTGGTGGGGGGCCTTAGCCAGTGAGGAGTGTTGGTTCCCTCCTGGGAGGGTGGAATGGGGGTGAGGGTCCCCATGTAGGGTGATGCCTTGAAGCCTTCCTTCCAGAGTTGTCTCTGGTCCACCTTGAAGTCCCCAGGAAAATGCCCTTGTCCCCCGTGGGTGCAAGCCACTAGGCCCTGAGTGGACGCTGGGACGGAGCTTTCAGAGGGGGGGTGTCGGGGTGGTTTGAGTGCCACCAGGCAGTGAATAAGCACTTTGCAGTGTGCCATGTGGGCTCCCGCACAGGATGGGGCCAGACCACCCTTGTGGGGCCAGACCACCCTTGCAGCCCCTGCCCCGCAGACGCCGGCCTTGTGGAGGGAGGCGGGCAGCAGGTAACCCCAAAAGCGCCTGTCAGAGGCAGGGACTTCAGGAAGGGTGGTCTGGAAAAGCATCTTGGTTGTCATTTAAGCTGAGTCCTGAAGCTTCCCAGCTCCTGCAGGGAGAAGCTAGCGTGTTCCCTGAAGAAGCCAGATCAGGGGACCTGGGGGCTGAGAGTGGAGGGCTAACCATCGGAGCCACCTCTGAGTCCACCTGATGGGCCCATGTCCTCATCTAGGGGGACCTGCGCCCCTCATCCCCTGTTTCCCCTCAGTGGGGGCCAGCTCCACCCTGTCTGCATGACCCCACCCGCCCCAACCTCACCCCGGCTAGTGGGCCGTGTGGTTTTAGGGGGAGGACCTGATGGGCTGTTCCCTTGCCATGAGCCCTGGGCGTGGAGGGCCAGTGGAGACCCCATTCCTAGCCCCACACGCCCTGGCCTGGGCACCAAGGACAGCTGCAGAGAAGAGTGTGGGGGGAAGGCACCACTGCCCATGAGATGGGGCAGAGATGGCCTGGGGGGGCACTTCCAGACCAGAGACCCTCTGCCCCACCTGTGGCTCCTAGGGATGGTGACCCAGATGCACATGTGTTTGTGTGTGTGGTGTGTTTGTATGGCACGTGATGTGTGGTATGTGTATGGGGTGCATGTATGAGGTGTGTGTATGGGGTGGTGTGTGTATGGTATGCATCTGTATATGGTGTGTACGTGTGGTGCGTGTAGGGCCCCAGGTTGCGTGTGGCATTGGTGTGGTGTGTGTGTGTATGATGTGTGTACGGGGAGCGTGAGGTGTGTGTGTGGTGTCCATGTGTATGATGTGTGTGATATGTGTGTGGGGTGTGTGTGCGTAGGGCGTGTGGTGTATGTGATGTATGTGATGTATGTATGTAGGGTGTGTGTATGGTGTGTGGTATGTGTGTGGTGTGCACGTGTATGATGTGTGTATGATGTGTGTACGGGGTGTGTGAGGTGTGTGTGTGGTGTCCATGTGTACGATGTGTGTGATTTGTGTGCGGGGTGTGTGCATAGGGCATGTGGTATGTGTGTGCGATGTGTGTGTAAGATGTGTATACAGTGTATATGTGTGGTGTGTGTTGTATATATGTGGTTTGTGTGGTGTGTGTGTATGTATGTGTGGGATGCGTGTGGTGTATGTGATGTGTGTGGTGTATGTGTGTAGGGTGTGTATATGGTGTGTGGTATGTGTGTGGTGTGCATGTGTATGATGTGTATGGGGTATGTGTATGGGGTGTGTGTATGTGTGTGTGTGTGTATGTGGTGTGTGTTGAGCTCAGGGCCCAAGAAGGAAGCAGGGCTGCCCAGGGAAATGCCACCCTGGAGAGGCCTCTGTTCCTCCCTGCCCATCCTCCCCCTCCCCCTCCATCCATCCCGACCCATCCCCATCCCCCTCCATCACTCCCTGCCCATTCTCCCCTGTCCCCCTCCATCCCTCCCTGCTCATTCTCCCCTGTCCCCCTCTGTCCCTCCCTGCCATCCCTGTCCCCCTCCATCCCTCCCTGCCATCCCTGTCCCCCTCTGTCCCTCCCTGCCCATCCCCCATCCCCCTCCGTCCCTCCCTGCCATCCCCGTCCCCCTCCGCCCCTCCCTGCCATCCCCGTCCCCCTCCATCCCTCCCTGCCATCCCTGTCCCCCTCTGTCCCTCCCTGCCCATCCCCCGTCCCCCTCCGTCCCTCCCTGCCATCCCCGTCCCCCTCCGCCCCTCCCTGCCATCCCCGTCCCCCTCTGTCCCTCCCTGCCATCCCCGTCCCCCTCCGTCCCTCCCTGCCCATTCTCCCCTGACCCCCTCTGTCCCTCCCTGCCCATCCCCCGTCCCCCTCCGTTCCTCCCTGCTTGTTGTCCCCCCCTGCTTGTTGTCCCCTGTCCCCTACTGTCTGCCCCCGACAGACCCTCCTCCTACAGCAGGCAGCCCATCTTTTGTGCAGTCTGAGAAGCGTGGGCAGGGCCGGCCGGGCGTGAACCCGCTGGCATCCCGTGTGTGGACAGCCCTGGCTCGGGCCTCCCAGCCCCTGCAATCCGAGCACCCGTGGGGCAGTTGGCAGCATCCGGCACAGCCTGGGACGTTAATTGGTGATTTTAATGACTGCTGGTCTGGCAGAGACAGAGTGACTACAGGCTGGGCCGAGCAGGCTGTGAGCAGAAGTTGGGAAAGGCCCCACCCGCCCACCGTCTCCAGGGGAGAGGAGGGCTTCTCGGGCCCCCTCTCAAGACCCCCTTCCCGAGTCGGCATCCTGGCCACGCACACTTGGAGTCCTGGGTAGGGTGGCGTCCCATACTTAGCTGTCTCGGGTGCTGGCAGTGCCAGCGGGGCATGCGTTCTGGTTTGGGTTGAGGCTGGCCCGCTGGTTGGGGTGGCATCTGCCAGAGAACTGGCCTTGTCTGTGCCTTAAGCTTCCCGCGCTCACAGGGCAGTGGAAAAGCACTCAGTGAGCCTTTCCCCGCCCAGACGTCCTCCTGCTCCTCCTGATGCCCCGGCCTCCACGGAGGGCGGATGGCTCCAGCCCAGCCTGCCGGTCTCCACCTCCCACTCCCCTGAAGCACCGGGAGCTCCCTGGACCGTGAACCTGTCCTGGCAGGAGTGGTCCCTGACTGCTGGGGTCCCTGCCCCCGCTGCTGTCATGTGGAAAGGATTCAGGGAGCAGGCGCGGCTCGGACCGAAGTGTGGGGGCCAGCGCTGCCTGCTCCCAGCCACAGCTGCACACCCAGGTCACGGATGTGTCGGGAACAGCTGTGACTCCCGCTGCTCAGCGTCCATCACTCCAGGCTGGGCCCTGTCCGTCTCCACTTCCAGTGGGGGAGGCAGGGGTTGCTCTCTGACAGTGGGCAGAGGGTCCTTCTGCAGCCCCAAAACATCCCAGGCAGGGGCCCTGGGGCTCCAAGCAGCCAAGGAGAGCTGAGCACCAAGGGGCTCCCAGCAGGTGTCAGCCTCATCTCCGCTGAGGGACGCCGAGCCTGGTGTGGGGTTGGAGACCTGGAGTCCAACGGTGCCTTCCCGGGACACTTAAGTTCGCTGCAGTAAATCCCGTAGGCTCGATGTGGGTTTCTGTGCCCTGCGTGGCAGGGTGCCATCTGACACCAGACACCCGAACCGTGTGACGCCAGGCCCTGGCTCCCCTGCACCCCAGCCCCCAGCGCATCCATCGCCGGCCCAGGCACTGGGGGCTGAGCTCCGTTGAGAAGGGATGAGGCCTGGGGCACTGTCTCAGCCCGCCAGCAGGAGAGGACCGACTCCGGAAAATTAGCCTCTGTGCCCACATAGGCTGCGAGACCTGTGCCTGTCCATCCAAGCTCAACCTTCGGGCTTCTCGAGGCTCCTTGCCCAGAATGTCCGCATTTGAAACACAGAGCCCCACTTCAAGAATAACCAGGAGGGAACATGGTGGCTTCACATAAGCGTGCCACGAAGAAAAACCCGTTTCTCAAGATGGGCTCTGGCCGCTCAGACCCTCACCTCCCCTGCCAGGATGGAATGTTCCAGAGTCCCATTAGTGCCAAAGGCAAATTAAAACACACCCTGTAAAAATGTCTCTGCTGTCTCCAAAGTATTTTATTTTTCTGAATGTAGGGAAGGAAGGTTTAATTAAGATGCCCTCAGGCGGGCACAAGGGGCAAGGTGGGAGCAGGGAGTGTGGTTCCTCCTCAGCCTGGGTGCAGACGAGAGCCTTCAGCTGAGCTTTGCTTCCGAGGTGCAGAGGAAGGGGCAGGGGGATGGGCCCAGCTCTGCTTTTGCCCCGTCCTTCACGGGGCTTGGGCTTGGGCAGCAGCGCCTGGCGACGCACGGCGCTGGACTCTGAGGCTGTTTGTTATGCAGCGTTACTGTGGCTATTAGTGACTGCTACAGTGACACAGTGCTGTGGGCAGGGTTCAGCCTGCAGGGCTCTGGTTTGTGACCTCTGGGCTGGGCAACTTCCAGGGTTTTTTCCAGTGCAGAATGTGATTCCTAGAGAAAAAGAAAAATCACGCATTGGTTTTCTCTCATAGGGCCCTACAACCAGAGACCATCACCACATGGGGTGTTTAGCTTTCCACTCTGCCTAGAAACCATGGCTTGCTGGCTTGCAGGGTCAGGAAGAGCCACGTCTCCTTCTGGGGGGCAGGGGTGGGGGCACTCGTGGCCTGGAGCTGAGGGTGCAGGGAGAGGACAGAGCGAGCCAAGCAGAACAGCCGTCTGTGAGTCATGGTCCCAGGACAACCGGCAAATGGCATGATACCTACTGCTCAGCTCCCACCCGCACCTGCCAGCCTCACATGGTGGTGGGGGGGCGTTGGCCCTTGGATAGTCAGGGTAGGATCTGCCCACACTGGCCACGCTTCCAGAAGGTGGTGACAGATGTTAGCATCGATGGGTCCTGGGCCTGTTTCCATATACAGACCTCAGGACATGAAAAATGGGGGTAAATGAAGGGTGCACGATTAGCCTCGGGCCCATGCTGGGTTCCTGTGGGTGCCAGAGACAGCTGCAACCACACGCCAGGGACAATGGCCCCCATGCAGCAGGAGCTGCCAGGCCGGGGTGCTGGGGGACAGCTGGACGAGGTGCCGACGGGCTCATTCCTCCGTGAAGCTGGTCCGCAGCTGCTGGGAGCGCGGCCAGCCGTGGGCTTGTGTTCGCCTGGATCCCGTGGGCTGTGCTGGCACAGGCTGGGACGGCGGGGACAGGGTCACACCTAGGGTAGCCTTGTCAGTGGGTCTCCAGGGAGGCAGCTCCGTCTTCAGCCTGTGTGCTCTTGGGGAGCCCCCGGGAGCCCCTCCCTCCCTCCCCACTCTCCTCCGCCTCTCAGCCTCTTCTGCTCCAGCACCGGGCAGCCCTGGGGTGGCCAAGCCTCACCTCCGCTCCCTCAGGCCTCTCCCTAAGAGTTTTTGCTTGACGGGGCACACTCAGGACGCCCTCCTCCTCCCACGTCGTGTTGGTGAGAGAGGCGCTCAGGCCAGAGCCCACGTGCCCGTGGCCAGCAGTGGGCTGAGCTGCTGGGTGAAAGGAAGCCGTCTTGGGGACCCCAGCTGGCCCCTCTCCCGGCCGCGGCAGCTCTGTCTGGGTTCACAGAGAAACCTCCGTTTTTAAGTGAAGTGTCTTCTTAGGGAATGAGACACATCTGTTTCTAAATGTTATTTTTAAACTGCTAGATGCTCCTTAATATAGACGAAGAAGTGCTGGCCTTCTGTTTTCATTTTACTTTTCTAAAATTTGAGGTGAAATTCGCACAGCATGACATGAACCACATTCCGGAGAACCACTCAGTGACGTTTAGCACCTCACCGTGCTGGGCCTCCGTCACCTCCTAGATCCAGAACATTCTCACCAGCCCAAAAGGAAATGTCCTACCTGTGAAACGTTCGGTCCCCACCCCCACCCAGCCCTGGACCACACGTCTTGCCTCCTTTCCCATGGCTTTGCCCGCTCTAGACATTTCAGGTAAATGGGCTCACACAGCCCGTGACCTTGGTGTCTGTCCTGTCTTACCGAGCCTGATGTTCTGAGGTTCGTCCATGTTGTCACATGTGTCTGAACTGGATTCCTTTGTATTTTATTTTTCCGAGACGGAGTCTCACTGGCCCAGGCTGGAGCGCAGTGGCGCGATCTCAGCTCATGTTGGGACCTCCGTCTCCCGGGTTCAAGCAATTCTCCTGCCACAGCCTCCCGAGTAGCTGGGATTACAGGAGTATGCCACCACACCCACCTAATTTTTTCGTATTTTTAGTAGGGACAGGGTTTCGCCATGTTAGCCAGGCTGGTCTTGAACCCCTGACCTCAGGCGATCCACCTGCCTCAGCCTCCTCACGTGCCGGGATGACAGGCGTGAGCCACCGTGCCTGGCTCCTGGATTCCTTTTTATGGCTGAATCCTAGCCCAGTGCACTTTTGATGAAATTCCGGCTGAAATGGGCACAAACGGAGCTGCTGCTCCACCTCTCCTCGGCCCGAGCCCTGCCCCAGTGACCTGCTCTGGACCCATTCTAGGCCGTGGATGGGACCCCTTGCGGTCAGCGTCCCAGAGGGCAAGCTCCCAGGGAAACTTGAGCTCAGAGAGAACAGGAGCTCCCAGCAGACCCTTCCGCCGGCTGCTCCCACCCTGAGCAGACGAAGAGCTGGAGCCCGGAGCACTGGGAGCTGGAACAAGGGGCCCTTTTCTGCTCTGCACAATGCCCCATTGTGCCCTTCCCGGGGAGAGCGGCTCTGCCCGGCGAGGGGAAGCTGTGCACAAAGGCTCCTTGTGAGGGCAGCCCCACCTGAGGACAACTCGGGGCCACACCTGACGCAGGGCTCTCCCCCTCACCGTCCGTCCCCCAGCAGGCCTGGCATCCAGACATGGCCCGCCCTGCAGGCATGACCCAAGGGTTCAGGGATTTCCCGTTCCCCACTCAGGAGGGGAGCAGTGGGGGCTGTGTTGGCTCTTCCGAAGCTGGTGGCCCAGGCCACAAGGAGAGGTGCCACTCGTGGGCTCTGCAGAGGGACCTGGGTGCCAGGCGCCAGCCAGGGCCGACTGCTCCTGCGATCCCTGAGGCTCCGAGCCCTCAGGCACACACCGCGCCCAGAGGCTTGGCCAGCGTTCGAGGATGTTGGTGTGTTCACACCCATGACAACGTCTTTTACAGGTCCCATTTCACAGCTGGACTCCTAAGGGGGTTTTCATGGAAAAGAAACGAAAACGAAAATCAAACCATAAAAGCTGTACACGTGTGCTACGACCCCAGGGACATGGGAAGGCTGAACGCTGTGGGGAGGTTCTGGCCATGACCTGTCAGGCCCGGCTCTGGGGGCCTGAGGTCCACAGTCCCTCTCTGCCCACAAAAGGCTCACTCCACAGGTGGTGAAGATATAAACAGGTAATTAAACAAGCAATAAAGATGGGTCATTTGGCCATACCAGTGTTGATAATTTATAGGCCAAAACACTAGGAACACTAGAGAGGCTAAAGACAAGAACACATTAAAACAAACACAAAAAACCAGGACAAACATTTCCAATGTACACAAAAGAACAGGACTTTTCATATGTAAAGAGCTCTGACAAACAAGGAGAAATCAGCACTTCCCGATTTCCATCCAAGAGCCCCCCAGTTTATCCAATAACCCCCAGGTCTCCACTGCCTACTCCAGCCTCACTCTTTTTCTTTGCTCTAAGGAATGCCTGTGACTCCAGCCTCTCCCGGCACCCACTTCCTAGCAGCCCCTGGAACTCCCCGTTCAGTCATCAGAGTGTAGAGTTGCGGGCATCCTCCTTCAGGTTCTGTTTGGGACATTGAGCAGTCAATCCTTCCCTCCTGAGTCCTGAGTCCCCCCTCTTCTGCCACAGCTTGAAGTCCAGTCCTCAGGGCTGGCAGGAGCTGGGCTGGGCAAAGGCGGAAGGGTGCTGGGGCTGGGAGGAAGGGGAGGGTTCCCCCCCATTCCAGGCCCTGCCCTGCCCACTCTGTGTCTTGCTAGCTGCAAAGATCACCCCAGCACCCTCCGTGGAGAGTGGGAATGAGGGTCAGCTGTGAGGCAGGGGCATGCAGTGGCAGCATCGCCAGGGTGTCCGCAGTCCACCTTCCCCAGGATGAGGGTTGGGAGGGAAGGCGCCTGGCTGGGGGAGGGCATCTGGGCCTCTGCCACGCGGACTGACAGAAAGCACGCGTGCTTGCCTGCCCCAGTGAGGTCGGGTCGGGCGATCCGCACCACCTCCCAGGTACCCAGCCCCGCGCCCTAACGGCAGCAGGGCCCAGCGAGGACTGCGAGGGACGGAGGCTCCGGGCACCTGCTTTCTGCGGGGGCGGGGCCGGCTGGAGAGGGCGGGGCCTCCCGGGCGTATGGGTGGGGCCTCTGGAGTGGGCAGGGCCGAACAGGGAGAGGCGGGGCCTCTGGGAGTGCGCCCTTCCTGCGCATGCGCCCTGACGGCCCAGCAATGGCGGCGCCCGAGGAGTCGCTGAGGAGGCGGAAAACAGGGCACTCGGACCCGCAGCCTGAGTCGCCGCCCGCGCCGGGGCGTGACCCCGCAGGCTCTCCGGCTCACCTCCACGCGGGCACCTTCTGGCTGACCCGGATCGTGCTCCTGAAGGCCCTAGCCTTCGTGTACTGTGAGTTCCAGGCGGGCCGGGACATCTGCCGGTGTCACCTCCGCGCCCCACGACCCCCGCTCTCCCTCGAGAACCCCCCACGCAGACCCCCTTCCTGCCGGGACCGGGCGAGGCGGGGCGGGTGGGGCAGGACGAGGCTTGCTGGCGACTGCGCACCCGGCCCTGCCCCTGTCGCCGGCCCCGAGCCTCCGGCCTGGGCTCCCGGGCTCCCGGGCTCCCGGGCTCCCGGCCCTACGCGCAGCGCCCGAAGTTGCTCGGCCAGGACCGGCTGGGGGCTGTGCGAGGCGGGGCGGCCGGGTCCCGGACCAGGAGCTCGCAGGTGAGCTGGGCAGGTGGAGGGGCCCGCGTGCGTGCGTGGGCAGCTCGCGTGTCCGCGTCTGGCTGCGGGCGGCGGCCGGCCTGGAGAGGCGATGGCTCCTGCTGGCCGGCTCAGGGCTGTGCTGGTGGTGAAGGCTCCCACTCGTCCTGCACCCACGCCGTGCCCAGGGCCCACTGCCACTCCCGCACCGCGTGCAGCCCCTGCCAAAATCCGGGGAGCCGCCTTCGCGCCTCCTGAGGGCCCGGGGAAGGTGACTGGCTGGTTGTGGTGACACCCCCCATGGGCACCGAGCAAGGAGAACTGCCCAGACCCAGGCGCAACTAGTGCCTGAAGAATATCTTCGTTTACAGTGTTATTACTCAGCGGTTTCCTCTATGTGATTCTTTATAATCACATAGTATAGAATTCATGCCTGCAGTGTAACTGACTGCTTACATATATCCAGTTTATATAATCATACTTAGTACTTATATCTAGCATCCTTAGTCCCATATAACCTTTCTATATAATCATACAGGTATTGTAGTCGGAGCTGTACTGACACATTTAGTGCTGATTTATAGAATGCTTCCGTAGAACCATGTAGTCATTTATAGTAGGAGGACGCCTAGAGCAGTCACAGAACAGAAGCAGTACATGGGAAAACAGCCAGACCAGGACAAGAACCAAAGACCCAAGTGGTGGCGTCCCTGTCTGAAAGGGCATATGCTGTATGCAGGCTTGGAGCAAGAGCCGCGCTCCTCCTGATAAAGGAGTTGTAGAACCTCGCATCCAGTTCCTGTGGAAAGTCGGCCTCGGGCCTGAGATCCTGGAAATAACCGAGGGAGAAGAACCGCTCTGGTGTGACCAGTCACGTGGCTGTACACCCTGTCAGTCTTTTCTCGTTTCTGTGCCAGCTCAAATCATCCTCCCATAAATATCTTAAGAGCACAAGCCTTTCAGCTCCCACTGCATTGGCTTACAGTAGCCTATTAGAAATACTTTGAAGTCTCCCACCCCCAGATAAGAAGTGTTGCACACGACACCTGTTGCACACAGCCCACCTCCTTGCCTTGGTGACCTAATGGGGGTGGACCCCCTTTCTGTACACAACCCTCTACTGTGCACAGCATGGCCACGTACTGTGCACAGCCCATCTCTCTGCACAGGTGACATAAAGGGGTGGCCCCCTCTCTTGTGACTCACATGATTATGTATGCCCTATCACTAAGCCTATAGATGATGACCTCACTTAGGACCCTTCCCCCTGCCTGTACCTAATAAATGCAGATGCTTCTGCATGTTCGGGGCCTCGCCTGTCTCCGCTCATAGGTGGCGTGGCCCCCCGAGTCCAGCTGCTCTTCACCAGTTCTTTAGTGTCCTGTCTCTTAACACCTTGGATCCTGCACTTTGAGCACAGCATAAGGGACACCCCACGACCCTGTGAGGCCCAGCAGCCCGACAGCTGGTGGCCAGGCTGGGGTTTCTTCTTGAATGTTCTCAACTAACTCAGCCTGCCAGCAGAGGCCTGGGGCAACTCTCAGAACCTCATCAGACGCAGATTCAGCCTGCGTCTCACTCAGGGATGTGGTTGGCCCGGTCCACTGGCTGAGACCCTTCACCCCGCAGCTGCGTGGCGCCCACCTGTGCAGCCTGCAGAGCAGAGTTCTGAGTAAAGTCAGTTCACGCTGAAAACCTCTGGACCCCCTGGCCAGGGGCAGCTGGCGATTCCACCTCCCTTTCATCCACCCCAGTCCCTACAGTCCAGAACTGGTTTGAAAGAGAGTGGTCCTGTGATCATGGGGACGTCAGTGGACACGTGGATACATGTTTCATAAGGCCAATCTGTTGGCAGCAACGAAGGCCGAACTCTGAAACTCTCGAATGAGCCTGGAAGTGAGGGGAGAGTGCCAGGCAGAGATGCAGCCAGCGGGCGCGTGGGCAGCCACCCTTCCACAGGGCTCCGGAGCTGCTGGCCCAGACGTCGCCCAAGCGTGGTTGTAGGCTGTGGGCATCTGTGCATCTCCTTTGATCACTCCTTTGCACAGCTTTTGTCCCACACATATCGCAGGACGTTTGGTAGTGTCTCTGTGCTGAAGCGGTGCTCACTCTGACGTTTTGTGTGGTAACACAGGCTACCTCCTGGTGCAAAGAGATGCGCTGTTCACTACGAGGCTTTCTGTGAGACTACAATATCAGCGTCCGCTCCATCTCTCTTTCTTTCAAGCAATTATTTTATTTTGAGGCAGAGTCTCACTCTGTCACCCAGGCTGGAGTGCAGTGGCACTGTGTCGGCTCACCGCAACCTCCTCCTGGGTTTAAGCAATTCTCCGCCTCAGCCTCCCGAGTACCTGGGATTACAGGCGCCTACCACCACACCCGGCTATGTTTTTTTTTTTTTTTTTTTTGAGACGGAGTTTCGCTCTTGTTACCCAGGCTGGAGTGCAATGGCACGATCTCGGCTCACTGCAACCTCCGCCTCCTGGGTTCAGGCAATTCTGCCTCAGCCTCCTGAGTAGCTGGGATTACAGGCACGTGCCACCATGCCCAGCTAATTTTTTTGTATTTTTAGTAGAGACAGGGTTTCACCATGTTGACCAGGGTGGTCTCGATCTCTTGACCTCGTGATCCACCCGCCTCGGCCTCCCAAAGTGTTTTAAAATATTTTTAGTGGAAACAGGGTTTCACCATGTTGGCCAGGCTGGTCTCGAACTCCTGACCTCAGGTGATCCGCCTGCCTCAGCCTCCCAAAGTGCTGGATTACAGGCGTGAGCCACCGATCCCAGCCTGTAATTATTTTTAAAAGGTAGCTCTTCCCTCCATAGTATAAAACGGTCATTCTAAATGTTGATGCTGTCACTTAGCACACAAGGAAATAGAGAGAAAGGAAAGTCGAAGCCGCGAGGCGCTAATAGGCCTTCCGCAGGGGAGCCGGAGATACAGTGGGCAGTCCCTGCGGCCTTGCCTCCTGAGCCCAGCTTCGTAAAACCCGCTGAGCCTCTTTCAAATGAGCCAAGGCTCCTTTGATCTCCGCAGGGATTCTCTGTTCAGTTCAGAAGGAACCACTTTTAAACCACTGGGCCAAGCGGATATTTAAAGGCTGGTGTCCAGCGTTGAACATTTCTCTTTGACGTATGCAAGTTTTTCTCTCTTGTGAGTAACTACATTTGGGGTAGAATCAGTGTTTTCTGCTGTATCAAAGAACCAGTTTCCCATTTTGCAGGGACACGGTTTTCTGGCTGAGATGGCCCAGGCAAGCAGGCAGTCATCCTGCACTTATCTCCTTCTAGAGAGTTCTGGATTTTACTGGGACCGCGAGCTACTCCCTGTTCCTCAGAATCCCAGGGTTTTCCAAGTTGCCATAGGGGTTCTCCAAATATTTCACTGGATGTTGAATTTTACAATGTTTGTAGCTATCAAAACACTTGTAATTAAACACACAACCAAATGTGTTCTGCAGAAACTCCCCTTGTTAAGAGATGTTGAACTGAGACAGGCTTGCCTTGGGCACATGGTCTCAGCAGCCATGTAATAAAGATATAAAGATCAGGAGAACACAGAAACACCTGCTCTGTCAGAGAAGCCTCAAAGCCAGACCCGCAGAGGCCGGCTGCTGTGTGGGTGTGTAGGTGTCAGGGTGTGCTCACCACACATGGATGTGCGTGCCGCGAGCGTCCTGGGGTGTCTGCCCTGCCCTGCCCTGCCTTCTGTGGGGGCCAGAGCGTGTTACTGGCGGAAAGCTGCGTTTTCCCAGGCTCGGAGTTAAAGCCCCCCGTCGTGCAGTCTCTAGCACGATTACTGAGTTGAACAGATGGTGACGTACCACCTTGCCCGGTGCTGACCTCCTGGTGCCAGCATCGCTACCCCCGGTGGACAGTGAGGAAGCAGGGTCAGCCACTGGCCGGCTGTGCAGCAAGTGTCCATGGACCCTGGAACTCCGCCCTGCCCCTCATTAACTGTGCTGTGCGGCCTGTATGTCCTGCATGCCGGATTCACATCTGGGCAGCGGCTTTCTCAGGCCGTGAGGGCCCCTGGGAGGACCGAGGCTGCCGAGGTGGTTGGGGACGGCAGACGCTGAGCATCCCCTCGGCACAGATGCCACTCCCAGGAGTAGCTGAAGTCCAGATAAGTAAGCTTGTGACAGGAGTTTCCGGCCTGAGCAGCAGGACCCGGGTGCTGTGTTCTTGGTGTAGGGGCAGTGCCGGCTGCCATGGGTGCCGGGGCCTCCTGCAGTCAGGCCTGCTGCCGCCTGTGTGCCCAGTGAGGAAACTGATCTCGAGAGTGGGCACCATGCCCAGGGTCCCGGGGACAGGGCAGAGTAGCTTGGCCAGAACCTTCACTGTCCTATGGCAGGGCCCCCCCAGGGTCGTGCGCTGTCCTTGTGGCCCTGCAGAAGATTGAGGCTGGCACTGGCCAACCCTGCAGTGTGAGGGCATGTGTGGCAGACAGCTGGTCTGGGGCCTCATCAGCCAGGCTGGCCCCTGGATGCTTGAAATATCCCTCCCAGGGGGCCTGGGCAGGTCGGGCCATGGGCGGCCACGGGCAGCTTGGGCTAGACTCGTGGAATTTCCGGAGCCCTGCGTCTGTTACAGCTCCAGTGGGTAGAGCTGGGCCCCTGATGAGGCGGAGGGAAGGACGGCCTTTCAGGTGCTCCTGAGGACGCCCTAGGCCAGAGCTGCCCACGCCAGCCGGGTTCTCCAGA